AATTTATTTGACCTAAAAAAATTAACTAGAGAAACAAGACATGCATCAGTTGGTCTTATAAAAAAATTAAGCCATCGTTGGTTTGCCTACTTATATAAGACAGGCATGGGAAGCAAGCTGGCGGAGAAAGCAATGGGACCAATGGTTCTAGAGGGACTTGGGGAGAAGGAGGCAGGGGGAGGGAGTGGTGAGCAAACAACGCCATAGATGGGGTATAACTAGGGAATTAAAATCAGTAACAAGGAGGACACAGAGATCCTGGGGGGGTTGGAACAATAGCAGTGTAGTTGAGAGGAATTACTAAGAGGCAGAAGAAAGGTGAGCATGATGGTGGGGGAGGAGGAAGGTAAAGGGAAACAGGAAATATCAAGGAAGCAAAGCTATGGATAGAGGTATAAATATAGGTGCGTACCTATGTAAATACATTAATTCATAAAAATAGGGGTATTGGACGATGTACATATATTTATAAGGCAATACACTGAGGTAGTGGACAAGCTGCAGCCCTCTGCTCATGCCCTCCCTTAATGCAAGAACACTTTGTTCTAACAATCTGGCATTCTATGATGCCCACCGTCCCGGCACAATGGGTGAAGACAAAAAGGGTGCATAAGCAAATGTGGTGAAGAAAGCTGATGGTGCCCGGGTATCAAAATATATAGCATCTGGGGTCTTAAACGCTTGAAGTCAAACAAGTGACCACATAGGTGAGAAGCAACAAAGCCCACTTGGAAGAAGCACTGCCTGTGCCATCATGAGTTGTCGACGGGATCAGGTAACAGGCATCAGAAGAACCAAAACAAACAAACCAAACCCATATTGTTGAGAACAAGGGCCATTGGAGCAGAGATCCAAAACCCATCTGTAGACAATAGGATATCCCCTTACAGAAGGGTCACAAGGAAGGGATGACTTAACCAGAGCACAGTATAGCATGAATGAAACACAATATTCCTCTGATTCCTTGAGGCTCCCTTACCCCCCACTGTCTTGACCCGAGTCCTGCCTTTCACTGTGTTCTAGACCGGAGCATGTGCACAGGTGCAGGTAAGAGATAAGAGCTCAGGACACATGGAATCCAGGAACAGGAATGGGAGTAGCAATACCAGGAGGGTAGGGGAAGATGGAGCGAAGAGGGGAAGAAGAGGGAATTGATGGCAATGATTGACACATAACCACCACCACCCCCTGAGGGACGAACAACAGAAACCGTGGGGGAAGGGAGACACTGGTCAGTGTAAGATATGAAAATAATGATCATTTATCAAGAGCTCACAAGGGGGAGAGGAGAGAAAAAGGAGCTGATACTAAGGGCTCAATAGAAAGTAAATGTCTAGAAAAAATGATGGCAACATATGTACAAATATGTTTGATACAAGAGCTGTAAGAGCCCCCAATAAAATGGTCTTTTAATAAAGAAAAAAATAGTTTAAACATCATAAACGAGGATGAAAGTCTTTAAATCATAAGTCACAAGACCTAGCCGGAGTCTCCAGTTCCGCGGAGGGATCGTTTTGGACTGCATCTTGGCAGACATTTTTCTAAGCTTTTTTTTTTTCCCCCCAAATGTGTCTGTGTAGGTGCACATGTGTGTACATGAGCACTCAAAGCAAATACGTGGAAAGTTTGCGATTAAATCTAAAATCCAAGAAGATAAATACAGCTTTGTTTGCTGTTGCTTCTTTTTTTTTTTTTAATGTTGGGAACAATTCCACATCCTTTCATTGGGAATGGCTAAGTAAATCAGGATGTCCGTTACATGAAAGCATCGATAGTTTCATAGTAGAGTAAGAGGTAGATTTTTCCAGACAGGAGTCAGCCCAAGGGCTGTGCACAGCAACCTTCTGAGAAGGCCTCTCCAGACGGGATTCAGAGTCCCTAAGCTTGCTATTGGTTACACACGACGCAACTCTCTTTCTCTCAGAAACTCCCTGAAACTCCACCACTATTTTCCCGTTTGATGAAACGAAATTCTCAGAGGGTCTTTTTGGAAAACACAGTTCACCTGGGGTCAGTATCCCCTGGTATTCCGCTCTGAGCGGAACTCTGTCCACTAAGGCAGTGAGCACAACACTCCTGGTTTGTATTAGAAGTGGCAGGTGTTGCTGGTCTTAGAATTGTGTCCTCCTTTCTGAATAAATAAACAAGTAAATAAATGTTAAATTCTTGAACATTTTCCTTTCTCTCCCCCTTCCCTATACTTTTCCAAGAAATGTCCATATAGGATTCCCAGGCTAGATTCCCAGCCAAGGGGCTGCATGCTCAGCCGGCACTCATCGGCCCTGGCGGCTGCCTGCTGCTTGGTGCTGCTGCTAGACCAGCGGTTCTCAACCTGTGGGTCGGGACCCCTTTGGGGGTCCAATGACCCTTTCACAGGGGTCACCCGATTCAGAACAGTAGCAAAATGACAGTGAGGAAGTAGCAACGGAAAAAATTTTATGGTTGGTGGGGGGTCACCACCACATGAGGAACCATATTAAAGAGTCACGGCATTAGGAAGACTGAGACTAACATTAGGCAAACAGGCCTGACGATCCATCTCCAAGAGTCAGCCGATGAAAACCCTCTGCAACTTATTTTTAAGACCCAAAACATTTCTGTATGCGTTCATCTCTTTGAAGAAACTTATGATGTCAAAATTAGACCATGTGACTTGACTCTGCGCATAGGAATAGCTGCATCGTTGTGCACAGACATAACTTTAAAAATTAGACTCTTGTGCCTTTGAAAAAAATATTACTGTTGACAATGTGTCCTTGTGATGAATTCCAAGGAGCCTTGGTGGCCCTGCAGGATAGGGGTCGGACTGCTCATCTCAAGGTCAGAGTTCTCCTCAGGAGAAAGAGGGTGCTGTCTGCTGCCACGGCAATCTGCAGTATCAGAAACCCTGTATGGTGGGGTGACTAGGGGTCAGGGTGAACGCGATGACAGTAGGTGTGATGCATTTCTAAGGATGTGAATTTCATTCAAACTTAAAGCCTTCTTTCTCTCTCTCTGGCTTCTCTAGTCTATGATCCGCATTAAGAATGAACTGTGGACGGCTCGGGACTCCATTCATGCACTGCATAAGGAAAGAAGGTAAGAACGGAATACGGATTCCCAAATGCTAAGTGCACAGGCAGATCACTGCTTCTGCAAGAATATGTTCACAAAGATTGGTTTAATAAATTCTCTTTTTTTTAATCACTCTGGGGAAATTTCCCTTTAAGTAGGAATAAACACACAAGACAGAGAACACCTGAAGAGATAACTTGGAAGGTAGAATTCAAGCCATGTGAGAGATAGTGTCCAACAGACCAGCCTGCTTATTCCTTGTGGAGATTGGCCTGAAAACTGTTGCTGGGAACCTGGACACCAGGTGAACTGTGTCTTTCAAAAATACTCCATGAGAATCTCAGTTAGGCAAAGGGGAAATTAGTGGCAGGGTAATGAGGTGGGTGGGCCACATGAGAGAAAGAGAGTTGTGTCCTTAATGATGACAGCCGGCCTTAAAGGTTAGGGACAGTGAATCCTGTCAGGAGAGGCCATCTCAGAATGTAGCTGTGTAGAACCCGTAAGCTGACTCCTTTCTGAAAAAACGATCATAAAGATCTACTTCAAACTCTGATTATAATCAACTTGTTTTAAGTGTCAGATTCCTATAGCCCTGAGTGTAATGATCTAGACGTTTGAGGGCTATCTTTTGGGAGAAATCTTGCTTCAAGTGGGTCCCCAACTAAATTCCAAGAACTTTTCAAACTATTTAGCAATTTGGACTGATTTGCACAAATTACACAAATATGTCAACACCGATCAAAGAAGAACATTTTAATCAGTCTATTTTGATTTTGCACATACAGTGTGGCCTGGATTCTTCTAGCTCTGGGCCTGGAAGTAAACAAAAGGGGAAAAAGGAAGGGAGGAAAATAGGGAGGGATGGAAAAAGGTAAAAGGGAGGGAGAGAGGGCAGGAGGAAGGCAGATGTTCTCTGGTGGAGCCTATGAGAGACGTAAAGCAATGAAGCCCAAGTGAAATAACCAGTAAGGTCTATCGTGTGTTGGATAGCATGCCTGTTCATACTTTGAACCCTAAACCGAAGATCTCTTCAAACTCTGTCTCAAGTAGGAGTGTTAAAGAGTCGTGGACACAAGTCAAATGAAGAAGGGCGGGTGGCAGTGAGGTTGAAGGTTACTGGTTTTTACTGTAAATTTTCTATGTGAGCCAGGACTTGAAAGAAATGAGAATGTTTTCTGGGCAAGAACTTGGTGGGAGAAGGAGGCTTCTAGGCAGAGAGAACTAAAAGTACAGCTAGTCGGAGAAGAGAAAGCTCCTGCTGCGTTCAAAGACCAGAGAAGCTCTCTGTGTTATGGACGGCCATCGAGGTGGAAGCAGATGAGAGAATAGAGAAAGTGATGAGTCTTATCATCTTGGGAGGTCATCATGCAGAGTCTTGATGGTATCTGTAAGAACTTCCCCTGACTCTAAGAAGGGCGCTCTAAAGGCTTTGGCACACAGGAGGAACATGATCTGCCATTTAGAAGAATTATCCAGACTGCTAGGTTCTTCAAGTAATGAATAGCATGACTTGGAAGGAACAGACAAAGAGCTGTAATTCCTGAATTTAGCCACTTTTCCCTCCTGTGGCCTTTGAGATGTGTTCAATGGTTCCCCATGACGTGTTCATGATATGGGATATCTCCAGGGAAAACGATCGTGAATAATGCCCATATTGAAATTTAAGTAACCTTTAAAGGTCTGCTGTCAACAGTAATTCAGAGCGTTTTTCAAACACCTCTACAGCCAATGAGATTTTAGGTGGAATTGTATAGTAATAGATTGAGCTGAGGTGCACAGTGAACAGGCAAGCAGTTTAAAATGGTATCAGTCAATGTCATAACAATTGAGCAAGGTGAAGGCTTCTTCCAGCTTCTGCTCTATCCAGGAGGACCTGGAGAACATCCTGCTAGCTAATATGCTGCCTCCTTGCCCTTCCAGCACACTCAAACCCCTCCTCTTGGCAGGGTCCTCAGACAACAGTTAAACCGATGCAAAGACAAATTGCAAGCTATATATGCCTCCCAAGAAGAAAAAAGTTGCAGATTGGAAATCAAGATTCACCAGCTCAAAACTAACCAGGAGAATCTGTGGACCAAGCTACAGCAGATGGGACAGGAGCTCCAGGTACCCAATGTGTTAGACACGGCCCATGTGGATTACCTGGAAGTCAGATGCGAGCCTTCTAACCGAGGGAGGGATGCACCTGAGAGGTTCTTTATAGCATTGCTTCCTGTGCTTTGGGTCTCAGGATCTTTTATGGTCATGAAATATTTTGAGGATTCCAAGAGCTGTAAATTCTATTACTATTTACAATAAGCAAAATTAAATATAAGAAATGGCTTAATATTTTATGTACTTGTTTGTCTTTTTCTAAAAGAAATATAATGACCTCTTTATGCAAGTGGGTACAAATAACATTTTAAAATCAACTATGTTTTACAAAATCCTTAGCAAGGAGAGTACATTATTTTACACATTTGAAAATCTCTTTAATGTCTGGCTTAGTCAAAGGCAGACTCATATTTGCATCTGATTTTAATCTGTTGAAAGGTGTTTTAGATAAAATATATGAATATGGCCTCACAATATTTGTAGTTGAAAAAGAATGAGGCATTTTTGCTGCCTTTTCTGGTGACTTGAAACATCCTTCTTTGATACGACACCAAAACATGATAAACGGCAGTGTCCTAAAGAATGATTACAACGTGGAAACTGAAACCACATCTATTCACAATCTGTTTGAATAACATCTAAATCTTCTACCTTTGCCTGACTTTGTAGCAGTAGGCTTTGGTCATTGAGGAGATCTTGGTTCATGGACCTACACTGAGCTTTTTATTGACCCATGTTATTACACAATTTTTTTAAAATCACCTTCTTTAATATGACCACTGAGAACTAACCAAGCCATGTAACTTTTAATTGCCTTCTATGTATGACAGTGTTTGACAATGAGTAAGTGAGACTGAAGAAGAGCTGATGCGTATGAATTATGGTGTTTGCAAAGAATATTGAATATACCATAGACTTCCTGAAAAACCAACAAACCCTTCTGGAATGCTCCTCAGAAGAGAAGATGGGGAGGGGTTGTCTCACACGCTTTGGCTATGTTATCAGAAGGGACAAGTCCTTGGAGAAAGATATCGTGATTAGTAAAATAAAGGGTCAATGACAAGGAGGAAGACCCTCCCTAGGTTGGATTGACACAGCGGCTGCCATGATGGGTTCAAACACAGCAAGGATGAAGAGGGTGACACTAGAAAGTTTTTAAAATCATTTTATTGGGGGCTCATACAACTCATCACAATCCATACATACATCAATTGGATAAAGCACATTTGTACATTTGTTACCCTCATTATTCTCAAAACATTTGCTCTCCACGTAAGCCCCTGGCATCAGCTCCTCATTTTCCCCCTTCCTGTCCACTTCCCCTTCCCTCGTGAACCCTTGATAATTTAAAAATTATTATTTTGTCATATCTTATACAGTCCGACATCCCCCTTCATCCACTTTTCTGTTGTCCGTCCCCAAGGAGGAGGTTATCCATTCCCCCACTTTACCCCACCCTCCCTCCACCCTCTCAGTAGTGCCAGTCTCAGTACTGATCCTGAAGGGATCATCTGTCCTGGATTCCCTGTGTTTCCAGTTCCTATCTGTACCAGTGTACATCCTCTGGTTCAGCCAGATTTTTAAGG